TCCTTAACACTACTGGCAATTTCCACATCCTGCGACTCTTCCATCGCTCACACCTGTCCACAGGGAGTTCAGCGAAGTCACTGACTGTGATCACCACTAACGGTTGTTGGAATGCGTCGGGCACTACCTGAAGGGCTTTTCACAGGTATCCAGGCATAGTCCTTAACAGGGTGACCAACTTAGCGTGGTTGTTAGGGTGTGTTGCTCGCCTATTTCATGCTAGTTTAGATTTCAAATGGACATGCACTGGGGAAAAGGGGTGGCATTAAGCCTGATGGTAATGTTATTGTTAATATTTCACGTTAATCAACTCTAAAACACCAGAGCTGCTTTCAAGGCTTTATTGGTAAAATAGTTAATTACGCGCGTGTAATTGGCGTGACTAATTGTTACAGTACATGGAGGGGGGGGGGAATTGACTGTTTGCCGCTGTTTGTGAAGGGCTGTTTGTCTTGTCATTGATCAACGGAATTACTGCATCTTATGTTCTTGTTGTGAATAATAAGCACGTGGTGGCGGGTTTTCACAGCCTCTAAAGTGTAACAGTAGTTTATAATGAAAGTATTATAAATGCTGACAGTCGGCAATAGATTAGACTAGTATTTGTACAACTTGTGCATTTTAGAATAAACAATTTATTTTCATCCTGGTGACTATGTAACGTGTTTGTTCGCTTTGTTTGTCTTGTTTATAATGTTAGTTTAGAACAATATAGCGACTCCTTGATCCATCGACATTTTCTCCTAGAACGGTGCTCAATATAGTGCTCATTGTTTGAGGCCAATAATATAGTGGAGTTGGTTGCCCTAGCGGGTGAAGGTTGTGGAGGTGGTCACCACCACCACACGTGTCTTGCGGTTGGCTGTGATCGTGGGGAAACTAGGGCCTGGCCTTCCTGCTTTGTCGTAGCCTGCTTTTTAACGCTCGCGAAATTGTGGGATTTGCATGCACATAAATACTGAAATGTTGTTAATTTGCTTTAAATTAGAATAGGATTATTAATTTTAAAATATCTAAAACTAATTTAGATATTTAAAATCGCTATTTTTTCGACGTTACTAGATACTAATTTTGATTTATTAGAGTTCACTGGCGAGATGTATAATATCCTGTGAAGACTGGGGGGGGGGTCTGTGATCCCCACGATCCCATGAGGTGTATGACAAGGTACCTATATATAGTTCAGTAACCATCTAACCACTGGAACACCCAGTCTAACCACCTGAGATAAGAGGCGAGCGTGTTTATCACGGCTGGTGCTGCTGCTGCTGCTGCCTGATAGTTTTGATGTGGTGAACCACAATCTCCCACCTGCGCCCTGTTAAAAGGACTTCTTCAAATCTTGGAGGTGTAGAGGACTCTTCATTCTCGGCTACAGGGCGGACTTGAGATCTCACAATGTTGCAAATATTGTGCTTTAAAATTATCAGCGACTATTGGTCAGTACTTAGGCTACTGTAGTCGGGTTTAGTGCGTCTGTTTCGGGGGGGGGGGGGGTCGTTAATGCAGGCGATGAGTCACGATAACGTGGCTGATGTATGTTGACCAGACCACACCACACACTAGAAGGTGAAGGGACGACGACGTTTCGGTCCGTCCTGGACCATTCTCAAGTAGATTGTTCTCAAGTCACAATCGACTTAAGAATGGTTCAGGACGGACCGAAACGTCGGGGTCTTTAATGCTTGGGATCGGGGAATTTATTTGCTGAATTAAGTTTAGTTAATATTTAAACTTGTTAATTGTGACTAGGCTTGATGTGTGTAATATACAAGTTGGTTTTTTCTTATCTGGGAGACCCGAAAGTTATCTTATCTAGGGCTTCAGGCGACCTAATCTGCCTTGTTTCAGTTCCAGTGTTAATATAATTGCAATATTTAGCACTCTGTATATGTCGACCTCTGGACATGACTTAATATGCAGGTATTATGTGAGTGATACACAATCATAACTTTAGCTCCTGAATCCCCAGTAAGCAACACTTGTAACTCAACTCGTATTGCGTTTATTTTCTAAACACAGATACATTTTGCCGATGTGATAATTTTTAATATAATTCTCAGATTTATCGTATACCGACGCGTTTTCAATGGAATTTTGTTCCTCAATCTGTAGCTTTTTCTCTCTAAAAGCTAGCTTAATATTTTCATGTAATTTAACTAAGACCTTTACGTATAGCGACCTCTGGTTTAAACATCACTATCGCTGCATAAATACAGCAAGACGAAAGTTTGAAATTAACTCGAATAGTAAGTTATGAGTTCTAAAGATTGCAAACCTACCTTATTTAACAAGTAAATGTGCAAATTTAAGTTTTGAAACTTGATGTATTATTCCAACCATGCCTCGTTAATTATCGATGTAGATCAGTAGTATAACTTATAGGTTTGCATTCATGTTTACAACTTTTTTACAAATATAATTTTACTTAATAACCGGACGTGGATTGTAATTTGCAATCAAAAAGTTAAGGCCTTGGCGTTTGTGGTTAATAAGCCAGAAATAGTCTGTCTTGCGCCAGTCTTAGATAGCTCCTTCTCAAGATGTTAAGACCTCTGGTATGTCGGTGAGTTGCCTTGCCATAGTCATACGACGAACCCTCCCTGGCCCACCTATCTTGATAACGCTCCCATGTTCATCAGTCTTGGAAAGGAAACATTTTAAAGCATTATTTTCCACCAGTCATTCTGGTTAAATGCCTTAATTCACATCTTAAAACTATAAATTCATATTTAAAGACGTAAGAGACGGGAGAATCTGCTACAACTACGGGCATATTTGATCGTTAGTAAGCATTGGTCAGTTCTACGGCCAAGGTTTAATAATATGTAGCGCATATCTTTCATTAGTTAAAATCTACGATTGAATTGTAATTCAAGATTTGTATTAATGTCGGCGGGGAAGGGGGTATGTTAGGGTACGCGTCTGGGCAGTTGCCCAGACGCGGGTACCCTAACAGACGGTCGCGTGAGGGATGAATCTGAACAAATCTTGTGTTCCTGGTTAGATTCCATCAGCACGCTGAGGTAGGAGTGGGGAAGGTAGAGGTAGATTTGAGGTTTCACTGAGGTGTTCCACACTACAACCACCACCACCACCGTATTTAACGATTGATTGGTTACGTTCTGATCATAGGCTTACGCTTTTGTTTCAGTTCATGATTATATTTGGTATTTTGTTAGTGTGGACAGCGTAGAGAATGTTGTGAAAATACCCAAAGGAACGTGATGTACGTTAATGTACATCTAGAGCACTACAGTGAGGCACAGGACTCGGCTTACATGATACTACCAGAAAAACCTTAAGTGTGTGTGTGTGTGTGTGTGCAGCCGCCTCACGATAGCTGTAATATATCGATCTAGGTTAGGGGATGTGAAGCGATACACGTGCGGCGAGCGGGGTGCACCAAACGTCAGCCCAGTCAGCGCAGTGCACGACTGATGCTGTTGTTGGTGGTGCTTCACGCCGCTGAGATCAGTGGCGTGAAGCACCAGCACCATCGGTTGTGTAGGGTGCAGGTTTGGTACCATGGCTCGGGTTTTCTCAAGTAAAACAATTGATGTAGTAAAGTTAATGAGTATTGTGTACGAGATCAGAATTATATTTGGGGAGGGGAGGAGAGGGGGAGCGGGTGGTCGTTGAGCAGGAGCGCGCCTGCTGGATTAAGGGTAAAGGGGAGAGCAGTAGTCAATTTTTCCACCCGTTATACGTAGCCGCTTTGTCCTTTTCTAACTCGCTGCGGGCTTTGTCTAGGGCTGGGCTTATCTGACGACTGTGTACATTAGTCGTAGGTCTTGACTGGTGTAATATTAATGCTAACAATGTATATACGGGCGTTGTTGTTTAAGATTTGCTACCTGGAACAAAATTCCAAGTAGAACGGGCTATGGTGAGCCCGTAGTGCCTTATATACGGGCATGCTTCTAGTGATCTCTTGGTGTAGGCTTAGTAATTCCACGCGTTGAAAAGTATTAAGGGAGAAAGAGTATGGTGGCGACACGTCACTAGAAGTGGTAAACCAAGTTATTTCATATCTTGATGTAGTGTGTAGGTTTGTGTGGCGAATAGTGTCTCATAGGTTAGTTTCCTCCCGTATGGTGTGGCTGGTAATAAGGGAGGCAGCGGTGGTAGGTATATGGGCATGTAGGCAGCGGTGGAGGGTGGATTGTAATGAGTAAGGTTAGTGTTAAAGGTGAAGGGTTAGAGATGGTAGCGAGGTGTAGGCGTAGGTCACCATTAGACAAGAGGCGGTATCATATCTGATATACAATTTAGTGCTTAGTTAAATGCAGGTGCCGCTATGTGCTTGTGAAGCGTGTATAAGAGTTTCGTACACGATAGGGAGGGGAGGGACGGAGACGAACACAATGTCGAGTGCGAGGCTGAGTAGAGGAAAGGGTAAGTAGGTCTCAGGAGAGCCGTAACTCCCCATACGGTGTATAAAGGTGAAGCTCCCGCAGGGTGTGGGGCGGACACTGAAGGTGGACAAAACAGGTTTCCTGTCCCTACGGGCTCACTCTGGTAATGGTGGTGGCAAGAGCCTTAACATGGTGTCTGTAGTCAGAGCCAGAAATAATGTACAAGTATCAATTAGTTTATACTTTAGCGCCCAGTCTTTATTAAACAAATGATTGGAATTATAAATGTGGTATATTATGGTTTGGCAAAAGAGGTCGACTAGTTTTGATAAATACTAAGTAACATTAGTGAAGCAATGAAACCAGAAGAATGTGGTGCTACAAGAGGCCATGCAGTGGGATGAACTTTCATCCCATCGCTTGGCCTCAATAGGTTCTCATCAGTGAAGTATGTGGTTTTGTATATAGGTTGTAATTTGGAGGAGACAGATACACCAATGAACGCAGTTGGTCGTCAACTGGACCTGCCTAGTATTCGCCAGGTAGTCTATAGTAGCGTTATTTTCAAAGCCTATTTTTATTTCTACAGGTGTGTTCTCTGTAAATTTATAATATTGGTTATCTGTTTTTTTTCCTTTCCAGCGCAAGTGGTGATCCTTGGAGCTGAACCTTGAGGAAGGACGACGACTACGGTTCAGTATGTGAGTATTTCCCTTGCTGCTTGAAGTTTGTAGCAAGTGGCCAGGAAGACTGACCTTGAGACAACACGAGAAAAGTATCGTTTGTGTATCATTATTATTCAGGATTAATGATACTCGAACTGTAGCCATACAGGATGATAATGTTAAACGCTAGGGAAGCTGGTATTTGTCGCTATCGTGACCTGCTTACATAAAGCACATCAGTCTCTAAGGACCGGTTTGTAATTGTGCTGCTTGTGTGTGTGTATACTCGAGGCTTGTAGAGTTGAGTAGTTAGGTCAGTAGTTCAACCTTGGGATGAACTACTGACCTTCCCCACTGTGTAACCCCCACAACACTTGCCTAACGGGTACCTATTTACTGCTAGCTGAACAGAGGTATTGGTGGAAGGAAACGTGCCCAAACATTTTTTTGTCTAGCCCGAGAATCGAACCAGAGCTTGGAGTCGGGAAGGAAGCCAATGTGTTTGTGTTAAAGCTTCCTCTGTGGCATCTTATAAGGATTAGAATAAAAATAGGAAAATGCATGTTTAATATTCTTTTTTGGTGCTCGCATGAGGGGGAAAAACAGGTACAACTTAGTTTCGCAATCGTGCCTGGTTGCCAAGTGGAGGGTTGATGTTCTGCCATTTATTAGTGGCTTATTAGTGGATAATGTGTGTGTGTGTGTGTATATAGGGTATGTGGAAGCTGGTTGGAATTGCATTTCTCCTTTGTAAACGCACATTGACACTATGTAAAGGCACCCCCGAACACTGTTTATGTAGGACAGACGTAAATTGTGTTTGTAGGTTATCTTATCATTTTAAAAGCACTACAATCATCTGGTTGATTGTTCAATATATCGCTTGATTTACACGTTTGACAGATCTCTAACTCTGTCCATGGAGGACAGAAGAAAAAATGTATATATGCTGGTTAGCATTGTAAATGTGTGGCCACGTTTGTGGTAAAAAAAAAACTATTCGTGGGGGAGGATGGCATAGAACCACTGGGTATACAGTGATGTTGGTTTGTTTATGGTTGATGCGTGTTTTTTGATTAGGTATCGCCTCGAGTATCTAAAGTCTTCTTCGATCACTCCCGCTTGCAATAATATTTGTGTATTTCTCGTTATATCATCGCTATTTACTGTTGTGCTATAGTCGAGCAGCAGGTGGTGGTGTATAAACATCAGAGGTCCGCGGTTGTTCAACACCCTCCCAGCGAGCATAAGAAATATTGCCGGAACAACCGTGGACATCTTTAAGAGGAAACTAGATTTATTCCTCAAAGGAGTGCCGGACCAACCGGGCTGTAGTGGGTATGTGGGCCTGCGGGCCGCTCCAAGTAACAGCCTAGTGGACCAAACTCTCAAAAGTCAAGCCTGGCCTCGGGCCGGGCTTAGGGAGTACAACTACTCCCAGAACCCCATCAAGCAGGTATCAACCAGGTGATGGAGGATGTCTCGGTATTGTCGAGTAGTGTCCCAGTCTGCTCAGTGTTGGGTGCTCTCCTAATTGTGCTTGCTTGGGTGAAGCGTCAGCTCTAGTCTCGCTTCTCAACTTTCACTCAACAGGTGTAAAATTTCCTGAGCTTGATTGTGTAATCATGTCAACATTTGAATGTGTGTGGAATTTGACAAGTTATTTGGCAGTTGATTGTCGCTTACATCGTTACTTTCAATCTTTGTAGAAATTAAGTTTGATAAATTTTTAGAGGTGAGTTGGGCAGCGAGTTGGTGCTGACCAATAAATCCTAAGGTGTGTGATGGAGTCATTGGTTATGTGGTGGTAGTGGGTCGCTTCCCGACACACACCATGGGTGGCTGTTCCCTGGATGGATGGTTAGTGGTGGTCGTCTTGCTGACCTGGAAACTGATGACACCAGCTGGAAGAGGGTTGGCTATCAATATAACATATTCGTTTAGACTTGGGACTATTGTTAGTACTAATTTATACAAGTCGTTAGTTCTGGCTGTACTGAACTGATGTAAAACCGCAAAAACCTGAATTTGTAGACTTAATTTGATTACCACACAATAAAACATTTGAATGATAGGCTCTGTAAAGTGTGTGCGTGTCTGTCTCTGTGTGTCAAAGGATGGGAGCCAGACGCCTGGGGCCAGCTTCGTGAAAGTGTGCATAATGTGACTATCTGGAGTTATAGGCTGGTTAGAGTCGACCACCATACCCCTCATTATGTAGGAGCTGCTCCTATTGCCACTCTGAAGTATGATTATGGTCTTGTTTTCCATAGTTTTTAGTATGTTATCAGCTGGTCTCAGACGATAGGGGGGGAGATAACAAGGGGGAGGAGAGGTGGGGGGAGGGGAAGATAGCAACGCAGGGGAGTGGGAAGAGGGGAAGGGGGTGGGAGGGAGAGGGAGAGGATCAGGCAGATTATCTTGTAAAATAACATTTATGTATATATACATGGTTTAAGCATGAATTGAGATCAATTTTCGTAGCTTAAAAATACTTTCTAAATAGCTGGCCAACATGGGTAATGTCCAGTTCGTTGGCTGAAGATAACATGACTAACAATGTGGCATAGTGGTCGACATATTCTTGGTGATTTCCCCAGGAGGTACTGGTGCCTGGAAGAGCACAAAGTCTACAGGTTGGTGCCGTAGTTTTTCCCTCCTCAGGATGCAAATCTCTGCTCCTCCACGGTACAAGTGACTAGCGAGGTGGTTGGTATTTAGCAGCACTGTTAGATATTCGGGAAGTATTAAAACAATGTAACACTGCTAGTTAAATGTTGACGTTGCAGAGATGGACCTTGTTGCGCGAGTCTCGATCGAGATCGACCACGTCTCGATCAGGGGTCGAGACGTGGTTGTTGTAATTAGCATCGCCCAAGGGGCATTAATAGCGGCTCACAGTACGAGGAAAACTTCTGATCGCGTGAGATTTCAATCAATGATAAATTGGGAGGCAAGAAACCCACGCAGACAGTTCCCAAATGTGCAGTGCCGAAGATATATTTTCAGTTATCGTAATATGGAACAGTTTTCTCAAATATAAAGTTGTACAACATGGTAAGGTAAAGTTCCTCTGGTAATTGTTTACAGTAGCTGTAAAGCTTTAAAAAGGTTCAAACGTAGAAAGTGAATGAAGCCCCATTCAGCCAAAGTTCGAATGTAATGTATTTGTAACCACTTTCCTCACAACATTGTCAGAATGTTCGTTTCACCTCCTCACCTCCCTTCCCCCCCCCCCTTTTTCCCTCCCCCTTTCTTCCCATTTCATTAAAAAAAAATAGCTGACACCTCCAAATGATACCCGATGAATCGGGCTGTGACTAGTGTAACTACAAGGATCTGCGTCTAACAGCCTGGTTGACCAGATTACTAACCAGTAGGCCTGGTCAGAGACCGGGCCACAGAGTCATTGATCCCTGGAACCAACAACAGATAAAAGGTAGAAGACTCGATTCCTCGGCCTAAGTTTGAAGTTTTCTAGAACAGTTTTTTGTACTCGCATGAATGCTTCACCCATGTACTGCAAAAACAAATACCAAATTTGAAAACAAATCTAACCTAACCTAGGCTAGGCTTGTATGTACACAGTTTTATATATTTTATTTGAAAAAAAGTTTTTTTTTAGTTCGGAAAATTTTAGGGAAAATGTAAATGCCAGGTTAAAGCTGACGTCACCACCTCGTCAGTTTAGGCTCCGTATAGATACAAAGTACATTTAGTCTAGAGACTCGTTATTCCGTGGGCTGTTGCTGGGAAGTGTTATGTCAACTTTCGCAGTGAGTCCAGGAACTGGACCCCACTATTGTTAACGTTACTCGTAGGAAAATGGTCAGTGTTGGTCAATGTTTTGGAATTCTTCTAAAGTCTTGTTTGTTGTGGGGCTCCAGGTCTAATTTACTTGTCATTTAGACGATTCCGAGGCTTCTCGTTTAAATACACACCCACTTCCCCTACCCGCCGGCAGTTGTCTTGAAAGGGGGAATTTGGTGGGGGATGGAGGGGTGCTTCTACCTCCCCTCCCCATGCTCTTGCAGCAGGTGGGCGGACCAGACAACCACCTCCACCTATCAGTTTGCGATGGTTGGGCGCACAAGACTTTTTTTCATATTCTCGCTCGTCATGCTCCCTCGTGTTTTCATGAGTGGAAGGCAGTGAAGACTAGTCGACCTTGGAGGCGAAAACCGGCGACTAGTGCCGTGCCCATGGCCCCCATCCCCATGCTCCCATCCCATCGTGGATACCCTGGTGCTCACCTTGACACACGTACCTTCACACTACACAGGATGCTACTCAGGATGTCACGCTTCTTTATACTAGAGTACCGTACACTCCTTCGTTCCTGACTGTTTTTTGCGAATAGCTTTTTATTGCTAATGAATTTTATCATTTTCTGGAGACGAAAATTCACTAACTTGGCTGAACATCTGATGACCAAACCACATATTAAACAGAGAAACGACGTTTAGGTCCATCCTGGACCATCTAAAGTCATCTCAAGACTTGATAATGATCCAGGACGGACAAATCGTCGTCCTTTCTCCATTTCTTGTATGTTTAGTCACTCATTTTCTCCTCTGACGGTGGAACCACTGTGAGACGTAGTAAGCAATCAGTGGTGTTATAGAAACCTGACTCTGGCGTGTTGGTCAATACCTTCCGCTTTGCCTCTTGCCCCTTTGTTACCCATCATCGTGTCTGATGAACTCCAGAACCCCCCCTATTGTTGTCAGCCGTCTGCTGCAGTATCTTGTATAATGGCCTATATACTCCTGAAGCCGGTATGGGTTAGCCTCCACTAGTTTAGCTCTCCACCAGTTTAGCTCTCACTAAGCTAATAGTCTCGTCCAGTCCCCATCCACCCTGAAAGGTTCTCTCTCTCTCTTCCTGGTTTACGTCAAAATGGGTTTCTGGGCATTGCTTTTCCTGCAATGTAGGATCAGTTTTTGATCTGTCTTCGTATCCTGTCTTGGTTCTGGCTAGCAGTCATGTCTACTGAGGTGGGAGGGGCACCTTGCTAAGTTGGATTCTAGTGTTGG